TTTGATTTATTATTGATGCCTCACAAGTAGTATTGGGTAGTCCATCTAAGAATTCAACTTAGCTATCTTCTAAGATAAAGAGGAAAAGTTTTTCAATGAAGAAGTGAAAGTTTCCAAAAAAGTGACTATCAGACTTTGCATCCCTGGGATGCATCTTACATTCTTGAGATGCATCTCTGTTGGTGCTTGTGTCTGCGGGTAGTGGTGTCTCTCAGTGTCTACTCGGTACTTAGTCTCTTGGTTGTCTCCCGGTCGTCTATTGTCTCCCGGTCGTCTATCGTCTCCCGTGAAGACTGATACGCTTACGCTCCCAGAAAACCCTGTCCCGCTGTGCTTCACAGCGTCCCGTTTGTCACGTTCTCGAGTGAAGGATATACAATCCTTACATGCAATGCCAGACCTAAGAAATCATTGGCAAGAAAGGTAAAGTAGCAGGATGTAGGACACAAGTCAGCCTCAGCTTCAAGATCGTATGACACCTACCAAGACAGACAAAACACTTACCAAACCAATACATACCCTGCACTTCAAAGCATTTTGGCCTCTGTGTAAAACTGTAGACATAGCGGCACATGAAGGTCAGTAGAAGAGGTTGTACCACCAAGATATATTTGGAAGGAGATCTTGAAGTTGGTGCTACCCCAATAGTTGATGACCGCAGAGATCACATAGATGACGCTGGACACCAACTCTGTCAGCGGAATGAGAATACTTGATCTATTTGGAAAGATAAGTCGTTGAAGTTTCTAAAAATCAAACATCACAGCAAGTAACATTAAGACAGTCACCCATAGAGTTTGGGTACACTTCAATGAACACTACCTTACTTTCTTGTGAGCCAATCCGGCGGACTAAATAGAATTTTTTACTGCAATCTGTACCTCCCTTGCAAATTGGTATAGATATTTGTAAGGTTCAGGTAACCTTCACTGCGATACTTTGGACAGGAGACTGTGAGAACACAGCCAGAGGTTCCTAGAACCCAAGAGATCCAATCTGTATTTCTAATACCAACAAGAACACACTGGTTCCAAAGGATAGAGGGTGTGAGATTAGTCCCAATATCTCTTCTGGACTATAAGATGACTAATAAAGAGAAATTGAAATAGAAAAGAGAAATATCCCTACCTGGTTCCAAAGGATAGAGGGCGCGAGATTAGTCCTGATATCTCTCAAGGAACCAGTCAATGAATGTGAATGAAAATCAACTATAAGAGAGTTGAGCTTAAGTCTAAGTGTTAATATTTGAGTATGTATATATGTGTATGTGATTGTGTGGTTGTGTAATGACCACAGGTCTTATAATATTATGGCTAAACAGCTGAAGATGATGATTCCTCTCAAGACGACAAAGCATATCAAGAGCGTCAGAGCCCAGGTGGGAAAGTGAGGTGTTATCAGTTGTCTCTACCAGCAAAAACAAGTTGAATGAAATGTCAGCAATGCTTGATAGCAAGATTGACACTATTGCCAAAACATTGGTTGACTCACAGCCAACTCAAGCTGTACAGCAAACAGATTGGCGACTGGTGCCACGTCATAGGACAATTGGATTTGTGAGATTGGTGGCCCAAGAGGAGGATAGAATTGCATTTCTTGCGTGTGAGGTGGGTACAGAAATTCCTTGTCAACCTGCTTCTAAAGAATGAAACCAAAAACAATTGAGATGGACGGGGTGTTGTGATGATGGTATACGGGTGGACGCCCAGAGCCAAGGTCACTGTTTGTTTTGGTCCACAAAGTGTCTTCACAAACAAGAAGTTTGACTTTTCACAAAAGCTCCAGCATTGAATATAAGGTAACGGAGCTATCCCAATGAGGTGCCTTACTCTCATAATAAAGCTCCACACCACATTGCCAGCAGAGTAAGCTCCCGGGATTAAGTTTCCTTGACAATTGTTTGATCAGTGTCACTTGGGATCAAGAAGGAAGCAAGGTTGTTGCCTAGCTGAATATATCAGTTATTGGAGTTGTTCTGGAAAGCATGGGACACCATGACTGAGCGGCAGAAAAATTGATGTCTGAACGCAGCCAAAGTGGTGCTTGTTGTAGACTGGGTGATAATTTGAGTGATCTGCTCTACTCAGGACCTGCGGGTGTAATGCCCAATCCGCGGAAGAATTCAACGGGAACAGGACTGTATTTGGAGTTTTTGTCCAATTCACTGTAAGGCCAACAGTGTTCAACAAGAATGATTTTGAAAACAAAAGGAAAATGAAAATATGAAGAGACCAATTTTGGATGAGATATCAGTGTTGCTTTTGCAGAGAATCATTTTGAGAATTAAGTTGGAAATGTGAATATGAGTATTGATAAGAGAGATTGTATGATTGTGTACAAGTCCAAAGCAAGTGTGAGGATACAAGACAAATGACCTTCCAACGTTCAAAAGTGTTGTCTTTGACCTTTTGAAATGGCATCTTTGACTTTGAACATCAATGCATATCCACCGTTAACCACCTTTAGTGATGCTCAAGACTTCCAAATGGCATCTTTGACTACAAATATCAATGCCAAACGGCATTAACCACCTCTAGTGGGGCCCAGGACACTCAAAACCACCTTCAGTGGCATGTAAAACTCCCCAAAGATGCCCAGTCAGGCCACTTTTAGTGGCCGACGGGTGTGATGGGAACGCATGTAATTATTGATTGGAAAACTAATGAATCCTGATAGCCCATTCCAAAATTTGCAATGATTGTTTGCAACCTTTTGATTGGTCTGTGAGGTGAAGGATGTAAAATTAACAACTATGTATTACTTTTGCTAAAATGCTTGGCCCAATCGAGACAAAATAAAAACAAATTTCACCGCAGCAGTCACAACACAGCAGAGAGAAAAAAGTTTTAAAGGGTGCTGTCTCTTCAGCTGTGGTGTGAGTTGCGACCTCCTTCCCATTCTGCTGGTCTATCACCCACCTCTATATAGTCTCTAGTTCACCATCACCTTGCCACCTCTTTCTTTGCACACTCTTGCAAGATGAGCTTGTGAAACTATTGAAACTATTGGTAAGTCACTCTACGTGTTACGTTATAAATGCCTCTTATTCATTTCCTCTTGCTGTGCTTTCTAAAAACCTTTTCATATTGTTTGATTCAGATGACCATCCTCACATCAACACAGTCCAATATTGATGATTGGATTGCCTGGCTTTTCCTCACCATCACCTCATTGGCTCTTCTTTCCCACACTCTTGCAGCTCAACCAGGAAAGCAGTCATCTGATATGTGAAACTTCTCTCTACACTGTTCCTCATACATTGATAACGAGTATTTGTTAAGAATTGAAAAAAAGAAATGATATTGAAGCTTTTATGGATCTCATAACTGCTATGCTAATCTGAGAAAAAGGGCAAGTTGAATCAGATGTATCTTACATATCTTCAACTTGTCCAGTACCGAGATCTTCTGAATAACAAAAGTATGAGATTGAATATCTTATGAAAGATATTCAAAATGTGAGTGAGTTTTCAAGGTAAGTGAGACTTTCAGAGTCATTGATTGGTTATGAACAATATCAAAACCAATCAGTTTCCGATTGATCCTCCTATGAGATCATCCTATGATTTCAAGTTTAAAACAATCTCAGATCTCTTATGAGGGCAATAAAAGTTAAACTAAGAACTTATCGGGTTTGAACAAGTCATCCAAACCCATTCAATTTGTCTGTGGTCCTATGAATGAGATGAAAAATGATCTCAGTTTTCTCAAAGACATTCAAAATCCAAAGATCAACTGGTTTTGCTCGGTCAAAACCAATCAACCTTCCTTTGTTCCTATGGAAGAGATTGGAAACAATCTCAGCTCTCTGATGTAATCTAGAGACTGATTTTTTTAACAAGATCAAAATCAATTGATTTGCTTGTGATTCTATGAAGATGATTGAACCGATCTCAATTTTCACATCAATCTTATCTAGAATTTCTTGATTCTGGTTCCTATACAATGACATCTGCTCTAACTACAATTCATCTACTATAGCGGTACACAAATATGAAAACCGTATGAAAAACCCGCATGAAAAATCCGCATGAAACCCCATGGTTTTTTTAAGTTTCCCCGCAAAGACCAAAAAAACCATGCGGGTTTTCTCCATACAGTTTTCCCATACAGTTTTGATATTTGTGTACCGCTTATGAACAATCTAGCTTGTTAATCCAGATGTAAAGCTCTTATAAGCTGCCTTCTGGATTGGTTCAACTGGATTTGACCTAGATGATGTAACTTGTGATCTCCGGACATCAAACTTCAACACATACTTCAAACTCAATCGGGTTCAACTCGGGACAGTGTAGTGGTAGGTATTGGAGGAGGATACCTAAAGATGATATTAGGGATTATCAGTAAGATGAATGAGATGCATTGAAGAGAGAAATGGGAGGAAATGCAGCAATCAAGTGTATCTTTTTGCTTACAGATATCAGCAATCAATTGTACACAATGGATAGATGAATTAGTTGAGTTGAGTGAGCAAAATGAAGTCATCGACAGGGATTTGAAGGATATGAAAAATTATTGGTGGCAGCGGGGTAATCAAAAGGATGGAACAGATGGGAGCTCAAGCGCACCCTACTTTTTTCTCTCTGCTGTGTTGTGACTGCTGCGGTGAAATTTGTTTTTATCTTTTCTTGATTGGGCCAACCCTGGGCCAGTTACGCCTCTGTTGCGTGCTGCGGAGCGTGGCGTAACGGTTTTGTGGCCCCGTAGCGTTACAAAGAAGCGGGGCACTTGTTACGGGGCTGCAGTTAAGCTACAAGGCCCCGTGATATGTTTATTTTTTTTGTTACGCTAACAACGGTAACAGTAGCTCCCAGGGACCGCTTATTAACGGTGTAGCGGTCCCGGATCCATCTTTTCTGCCCTAATCCCAATCGGGCAAAGGGTTTCGTAGCTTGTCTCCACCATTCCTCATATCGTACTAAAACACACATCCATCCCTCCAATTCCTCATCGTTCATATCCCAAAGGAGCTCTAATAACTTCCCAACGAGGCAAATCAATATGATTTGGTTTGTTCGAGACCAGGCAGGGGAACTGCATAGAGACAGCCACTATCCTGGGTTCCGAAGAGTACGTCCTTTCTGAGTTGTCTTCATCCCCTTCCTAAGTTTTCTCACTTTACTCGTTCACTTACACTTACTTTCATCGTCCAATTTCTTTCTATTAGTTACTCTTACCACCGTTCATTTTTCTAAATAATTCAAAGTCACATCCTCCGCTTCCCATCAGAAATCATACTTTGAGATCAATCAATATGCGATCCTCCTCGATTGCTTCTGAAACACCTTCCAGACCAACTAGTACTCGTACCAGAAATCCGGTCATCCACCCAGGAATGGTATCACCATCAATTGATAGTCGACGCCGGCTTTCTATTACTTCGGACCAAGTTCAACCTCAATCCTCAAGAAACAAACGTAAATCAGCTGCTAACAAATCTGTGGATCAATCCGATAACGCTTCCGACTCCTCGGTAGTCTGTTTGAAGCCTGCCTGTACCAAGAAGAAGAAGTCTAGCTCCCAACAAACAAAGAATAAAGGACCCTCACAAGGCCAGGTAGGTAGTTTTGTTTGTTTTCATTTTCAACATATGTGATCTGCCCATTACTAATACTTGCTCAATGGCATTTCACAGCACATTGATACTAATGTCACGAGATCGATGTTACGTGCTGATTCCAAAGAAGACGAAGTTGTTGTCACGACTCGCAAAAGACACAAGCCAGACGCAGAGTCAGCAGACAGTACTGACGAGTTGGCTCAACTGAAGGCCTACTTCTTACCTCCGACACACTGACACAATGATGTAAGTCATCTATTTTCTCAATAGAACTTGAAGGTATTACTTTTTGTCTCTAAGTGTCGCTTTGGTGTATGACTTTCTACTTTTAGGACCCATCGAAGCCACCCTTATTGTATGTGTGTCGTTTCTGCCACAGGGACGAAAAACACCCAGTTCGTGTCAGCTTAAGCAACTTGACAGGCAATCTTTGGTCTCACCGCAATGGATACACTGCCACGGGCCAATCTGACAAAGGCTGTCCGGGAAGACTCAAGGCAAAGGAAGACAAGAGCTTTGGAATCCCTCTTTCCATTGCAGAGCGACGGCTCTCTGAGAAGGCCAAGGTTGAACCACTCGATGGCTTTGTCACCACCACCCCTGGCAGCAAATTCAACAATGTTACATTCAATCAAATGGCAAGCACTTGGTTGATCCGACATGCGCTTCCTTGGAACCGAGTGGAAGATCGAATTCTCAGAGCTATGGTACAGTACCTTCGCAACGATGCCAAGCTTTACGGTCGCAAATGGGTTGCTACCAAAGCAAAACAGATCAACAGGTCTTTAAAGTCAAATGTTTTTCAAGAACTCAAGGTAAGTCATGTTTCTCTCAATATTCAGCTCAGGTTTGTTACATTAAACTGAAATTGTTTTGTTGCATGGCTTTGTACATTTCAGCAACTGACCTCCCGGTTTAACCTCGTACACGACGGCTGGACAAGCAAAGGCAACCGTCATGGATTCATAGGCGCTTTGGTAACATTCATCGACCCCAAATGGACTTATCATGTACGTCATGTGGGCTTGAAGGTCGTCGCGTGGCACCATCATGGCCCATGGCTGGCCGAGCCAATTGTCAATCTCCTGGTGAAGAATGGTATACATGAAAAGATGAGTGTTCAATTTTAATTCATAATCACAAATGTAATAATCAAAGCTGACATTGTTATTTTGTTTGTTTCACATCCTCTGCCAGACCACTGACTCGGGATCAAACAACAAGACTATGGCGCAAGAAATGCATCAGCAGTTTTCTTTGCAACCTCAGTCAGAAGGATCGAAGTATCAATGGAATCCGGACATGATGCACATTTTTTGCTTTTGCCATAAGCTCGCGTTGATTGTCAACGCGGGCTTGGCTGAGCTGGGTGTTAAGGCTCCCCCACCTGCTAAAGTTAAGTCAGCAGCTCGGGGGCATTTTCCAATCATTGGGACGATTGAAGAAGAGGACAAAGATTTAGTAGAAGGTGAAACCCAACCTACTTCCGCTGATGACGACCACCCAGAACACAATACCGATGAACTGGAAGACGAAGACTTGGCGCCACCAGTCCCAAGTGAAGAGGGGGCTGGTTTGATTGATGACGAAGCTGAATGGGACCAGGCCGATGCTGAGGATGAAGAAACTCCAACCGTTCTGTTGGAGCAAGAAGTTGCTCCAACACATCGTTGGCAAGCTAATCAATTAGACTTCATTTTGAATAAGGTAAAGTCATTTTTTTACACAATCACTCAAAATTTCAATTAACATGGATTAATCACCTGCTTCAATTTCTAGGTGGACTTCATTGTTTGTCGGATCACTCGCTCTGCGGCGTGGCGCAAGGAATTTGCGCGTGTAAGTGCAAAGAAAGGCTTCACTGGGCCACTTATCGCAGGTTACGGGATTAGGTGGAACATCAAATATGAAAGTAGACATAAGGCTTGGCTGGCCCAAAGTGTAAGTTTGTTTTCTTCATCGTTGTGTTTCTAAATCATATAATGATTTCACCTCTTTAAGCTGACCATATCAAACAAATCCCCGTAGGTCATTGACCAGTTGTGTAAAGAGGATCTCGACAGAGTTCTTGCAGTGGGACGGCGCCCGAGGAAAAATGGAAAGCCCTATGGGTATTTCCATCAACTTGAAATCACCACCTCCGAGTGGGCTCAATTTCGAAGGGTTAACGATGAGCTGGAGGTATGTAGGACTTTGTTTTGAATCCTTTTGTTAATGTGTGTCTTACAAATTATCAAATTTGTCAGATCTTTCTCGCCACCACCCTCAAGATGGAAGGCGACGGGCCTACCGGGTGTATGGTGATACCCAAATATGTCAAGCTTCGACATAAGCTAAAGGAGAAGGTTGATAAGCTGAGCAGTTCGGATGCGATTTATCCCATGCTAGCAAAGATGCTCGCAAAAACCCAGGAATACCTTTACGAGGTGCTGGGATGCGAGAGCCTGGTCATGGCAACATTGCTTCATCCCTTATTTTGGCTCAAATTCTTTGTCAAATGGTTCGGTGGAAAGACAGCATCAATCCCGATGAAGGCAGAATCAATCTTACGTCGCATTTACTTGGACTACGAATCAACTTTGCCACGTCACCCATCTGGCCATCAAGCGTCTAGCAGTAGCTTGAATCCATCTGCAGGCGGACCGAAGATGTTTCATGACGATACTGAATCAGATGAAGAACAGGACAAAACTATCAACAATTCTTTAGAGAACTACTTGCGCATGTCAGATAGGATGCGAAGTACTGAATACAATCTAGCAGACCCCAAGGCAGGACTGGTGTGGTGGTTGGTAAGCGAATTTCAATTCATATCATCATGATGAATGTTGTATCAATACTAATATACTGGTATGTGCTCTAGCGTCATGAAAAGGACTATCGAATTCTGGCCTTAATGGCACGTGATTACTTGGCAACCACTGGATCTTCATGCGCGGCGGAACGAATCTTTTCATGTGCCGCTGATGTCTGTGCCAGCAATCGAGGTAGTCTGCTGGCACGTAACATTGAGGCTCTGGTCTTGAGCCGTTTATGGTTAAGAGAAGGGGTAAGCCTTGGGGTGGAATTTGCAGAACTTGCGGCGGTTTTCTGTAAGAGTTCAAGTGCGGATTTTAGAATCTACGCAACCTAGAGCAGAATGCTATACGTGGACAGACAGGTTGAGGTGTGAGCTCTAAGTGAACTCAACGATGATAGACGGCGGAGAAATGATCACGCTCTTACCTGGACAGACAGGTTGAGGTGTGAGCTCTAAGTGAACTCGACGATGATAGACGGCGGAGAAATGATCACGCTCTTACCTGCAAGTAGTGCAGGAGGGAAACAAAAAGAGAATCTGAGTGTTCTCGTTCCTAACGGTGTTTGATTTCAAATCACACAAAAGTAGAGAAAAGACGAGAACAGAAAAAGAACTAAGTAAAAGATTAATCACCTGGACAGACAGGTTGAGGTGTGAGCTCTAAGTGAACTCGACGATGATAGACGGCGGAGAAATGATCACGCTCTTACCTGCAAGTAGTGCAGGAGGGAAACAAAAAGAGAACTATCGAGGTCGAGTGAGCTAAGTCCAGGAGATAGGTAACAGTAATGTGAGAGGAGATAAAAGCTTACTCTGAGTGTTCTCGTTCCTAACGGTGAGGAACAAACTCAGAGCACAAGAGAGAGCGGGTATATGTGGACACTCAAGAATCAAGAATGAAACAATGAAAAACTCTGACAAGAATGAGACTCGACCAATATGGACAACTGAACAGAGAAGAAGAAACATAACTACATTGATAAATCCCAAAAGAGAGTAGTAACAAACACACGCCTTATCCTAATCCGTACTTTGATACCATTCCTTCAGACACGCCATAAAGCCCTTGATGATTTGATGCAATTTGAGCTTCTTCTTCTTGAAACCGTTCCTAGCCTTGACTCAACATACTTCTGAGTCATCACATGTATGATTCGTGATGGTCTTGAACACATACGTCTTTTTACCACAACACACCCCCTCAAGATCATCACGATATGGTTTTGAGTCCTAACAGTTTTCTGAGTTTCGCAAATTGAGCTGAACCCAGAGGTTTGGTGAGTAGATCGGCCACCATGAGATGGGTGGGGCAGTGTTTGATGCTGAGTTTGCCTGACTTCACAACCTCCCTGATCCAGTGGTAGTGGATTTCTATATGTTTGGTTCTGGCATGAAAGATTGTCTTGTTTGTAAGGTGAATTGCTCCTTTGTTGTCGCTTTCCAGAATGGTCGGGTTTAGATCTTCGTATCCAAGCTTTGACATCATGGTTCGAAGCCAGACCAGTTCCTGACCAGCTTCTGTGATAGCTCGGTATTCAGCCTCGGTCAATGATAGGGCTACAGTGGGTTGAAGCCTACTCCTCCAGGATATGGCTCCGTTGGCCAGTATGAATACGTAACCGGTGGTTGATCGTTGGGTGTCCTTGTCACCCGCCCAGTCAGCGTCGCACATGGCTTGGGGGCAGAGCTCGCTTTTCAGGCCTTGGAGAATGATTGGTTTTGAGTCTCGAGAGTAGACAATCCCGATGTTGACCGTGCCCTTCAGATAACGTAGAACATGACGGGCGGCGTCCCAATGCTTGTAGCCAGGCCAGTCAAGGTGTTGAGACAAGGTCCCAACTGCATGCGCTAAGTCAGGTCGGGTGCATTGCGCGAGGTACATCAGAGAGCCTACCAAACTTCGATAGGGAAGGTTCTGAGATTTGAAGTCTTCAATTTCCTCAAAGTCGGGCTTGTAGAGTTTGAGCGAAGAAGGGAACGGAGTACTGGCAGCTTTGACTTCGGTCGATTCAAATCGTTCCAGGACTTTGAGTGCATATGAGCTTTGACATATTGAGTACATGGATTCACTTTGCCTCTTGATTTCAATACCAACGACAGTAAAAGCTACTCCTAGATCCTCCATCTCCCAACGGGATGAGATCTCCTTCTTGAAGGTGACAATATTGTTTCCAGTGATTGCAAGGTTGTCCACGTGTACATACACGGCTGTGAAGCTCTCGGCCTGTCGTCTGATGTAAATACAGTGATCAACCTCACATTGCTCGAAACCCACGCTGATGAGGAACTCTTCAATGTCGTCTTGCCAATACTTAGGGGCTTGTTTCAAGCCGTAGAGAGACTTGAGTAGGAGGCACACTTTCATTTCTTCTCCGGCTTGCCTGAATCCCTTGGGCTGCTCGACGTAGATAGTCTCAAACAGATCGCTGTTCAGGAA